TGATGGCACGGCACATGCCTGTAATCCCCGTTCCTGGACAGTTGAGGCAGGTGGATCTCACACACACACACACACACACACACACACACACACACATTCACACATTCACACACACACACACACACACACACACACACACTCACTCACTCACTGAGTGAAAAAGAGGGGTGTCATACAACAGTAATTACAAATAAGATTTCAATAAGAACTCTGATTTGGAAATCTTCAAATGAATGGCATTCATGGAATATGTAAGTAAAACAAAGTAATTGAACATCAAATTGAAGAAGGAAATACTGAAATTTTAGTCTAGCTCAAAGAATCTCTTCAAAAAGATTTTGCATTAGAAATGTCAATTTTTTAAGTAAAAAAATGCGTTGGAGAATTTCCTATGCAAACACTATATATTTACATCATTTCCATCTCTTCTCCTCCCCTCTTCAGATCCTCTCGTGGTCCCTGCCCACACTACCTCTCAAATTCATGACTACTTCTATAATTATTGTGGCACACATATCCCCACACACACACAACAACCTCATAGGTGTATTTAGTGTTGCTCGTATGTGCATGTTGTACATGTGTTAAGGGTTGACCACTTGCAACTGGATAACCTATCTAGATGCTTGTCCCTGGGGAAAACTGGTTCTCCCTTTTACAGCCTTGTTCCTTGCCTATAACTCTTCTCTTCATCAGGGGTGGTGTTGTATATTGGGTGTGGGTGTTTGCGAGAGTCCATGGAATCAAGAGACAGGTGCACCTCAAGGATGATTCTAGCCTTTCCCAGCTGCAGGGGGATCCATCTCTGTGGACCGGTCCACTGTAGTTTAGCAAAGGGCCCTTTTATTCTCCAATGTACACCTTTTAGCAAGTTAATCTTCGTACCCCAACACCTCTCATCTAAGCTTCCCCAAGAGACAATGCTAAATGCATATTCTCTGCTGAAGAATACCTGCGTGTTCTGGATTCTTCTTCAGCCAAATCTGCATAGGCTTTGGCCCCTCAGAAAACTCTCAGGCCAGATTCACATAGAGGGCACCAGGAGACAAAGGTAGCTATCACAAAGGCAGATTAAGGCTGGGAACTAATAATGCTCTGGAGGCAAACCACTGCAGCTCTGCAGGGATTCTCCCAGCAGGGTGGGGCTTTGTGAAATTCCCCTCACCCACATTGGCATGTCGACTGGTGGTGTCATTATGCAGGTCTTGTTTAGGTAACTCTATGGTCGAGATTTCGTGGGTACAGTTTTTCTGTCATGTCTAGAAGATATTAGCACAGGTATCCTGAGTCTTCTGGCTCTTAAAATCTTTCTTCTCCCTCTTCCATGATTTTCCTGAGCCTTAGGAGTAGGAGTTAATTTGTAGGAAAACCAGTTGGGGCTGAGCACCAATGGTCACTTATTCTCTGCGTTTTGACCAGTTGTGTATCTCTGAAATAGTCTCTATCTCCTACAAAAAGAAGTTGGTGGGTTTTTTGTTTTGTTTTTGTTTTTGGAGGGGTAAGAGTTACACTTATCTTTGAGTATAAGAGTAAGCATTTAGGGGGGCTGGAGAGATGGCTGCTCTTCCAGAGGTCCTGAGTTCAATTCCCAGCAACTACATGGTAGCTCACCTCTTCCAGCATGCAGGCATACCCTCCCCTCTAAAAAAAAGATAAGCATTTAGAATATGGTTAGAAATTATGTTCATTCTGGAAAATGGAAATTGTGTGTTCTCCTCTATGGTTTTGGACCTCTCTAGCCATAGATATTTGGCTAGGTTTATAGTACTAGGTATCCGTTCTCTCCTATTAAGTAGACCTTAAGTTCTATTAGACAGATGTTGGTCATTCCCATGATAAAAGTGCCATTATACCATTATTGCACCATTGGAGTATCTTGCCAGGAAGGTATCATTGAGGTTCACAAGTTTTATAGCTGGGGAGGACTGGTGATCGCTTTTTTCCTTGGCAGCTTGCAAAGCATCTTCAGGGACTACTAGAGCTAGTCCTTGGGGAGGAGGCTTCCAGGTCAGTTCCAACTCTGTTCCCCCAAGTCCTGTGTCTGAAGTGTGTGATGTCTTCAGCAAAAGAACGGAAACTATATCAATAGCTATGTTGAAATGGAAAAGAATTTTCCAAGAATAAAAGTAGTGGGAAATTTATAAAAGAGGAAGGTTGATTGGACTGTATAAAAATTTAATTTCTAGGTATCAAACAGCAGTTTTATGTTTTATGTTGAGTTATGGCAACTTAATATGAAGGGGATACTGGAAAAGTGAATCTGAGTGTGAACAGTTTGAAAACACAGACATATACATATACATATATACTAACAGTGTGTAAACTAACATTGAAATGTTTTGAGATTATGGCTCAGAGTGGAGTACTTGACTAGTGTGAGTGAGACCTGGGCTTTATTCCCGGTATTACCCAACAGTTCTTCAATCTTCCTTTTTGGTGCTTAAAATGGATTTTTTTTTAATAAAGAGAAATGCCTACTGTTTTTGAGTATGCTGTGATGTGACCTTGTCAAAAGAGGTGGAAGTATAAAATGTATAAGCTTTGAAAAGCAGTGTGCTAATTTTTGTAACTCTCCCAAAGGTCTTACTGTTTGAGCTTATAAATTCATTTTAGAAATTTATCCTGAATAACCTGGAAAGCAAACATCAGACAAACTGTGCATAGGAATTTTAACCCCAGAAAGGAATCAAGAAGATAGATTAAAACAGTTAAATCCCGACTGCAAACATAGTTTG